TGGGATGATAACAAACTTTTTTATGTTCTAAATTAGATGGCATGGGTTTGGTCAATATATGGTTACCATTAGGATAGTGCTTTTTGCCACGCAGCGCATGAAACAATGGCTCTATTACGAACGAAGTTTCCGTACGAATTATCTTACGAAACAATTAGGTCAAATGGCCGCCGAGATCTTGCGATTTGACACCATTGGACCTCTTCCTGTGGGGCTACTTGAAACGTAGTTGTGAAGGGCATTGAACAGATTTTGTATTTCATACAAATACAAATGCCATAAGCCCAAAAAGCATGATGGAAAAAAATCGTATTAAATCACCCTGTATATACTAAAAGAAATCTGTTGTGAAACTCCTGTCAATCACCTCTGCATGACTTTGTAACAAAGATCGAAGTTCGACTGGAAGCCGGTGACTACGCAATGGGAGTCCTTCCTGACATGGTGTGGGCAAAGCAATCATAAGGTGGATGAAGCTAGCCATTGTACCATGACAGGGGTTGATAGAGAATACACTCCACGATGCAGCGAACAAAGGTGGCGCCGTCCGCAATATCGCTACTTTGGTTTTGCCGATTTTGACAACTCTAGTCTACAGGTAAACGCCGCCTCAGAAACTTTAAATGCACTGAAATTCACTAAGACTCCTTGGATGTCCACAGGGTGAAGTGCTCTCTTCTATCTTGCGGTGTTTGATAGTGGACTCCCTATTAACGAAAATGCAAGATTTCGTTCACATCCAAGCTTACGCGGATGATGTTTGTGCTAGGAGTAACTCTAGAAACGAAGCTCAGATGGAAAATTTACGCCGAGCTGAAGGTAAATCGAGCGCTGAAAGTTTTGGGACAATGTCGGAGAACCTTTAGTATGAAAAGGGATCCGTGACCGGCTATGGTATTATGGATATAGATACATAAGTAGTTTTAGTCAGACCATTCGTCATGTATAGGCATTACGGGCGCCATGACTACAACTTCAAGACTGTCTCTTAATGCTATTTTGGATTAGCCACCGCTGGATTTATGGATCCAAGAGGAGGTAATGAAAACGATGTACCGACTGCACTCTTTTGGATTATGGCGGACACAGAGAGGTGCTTACAAGGTCGTCAAAGCAATAACTTTTCTCTTTGACACCTAATAACAAACAGATACCTAGAGTTTCCTATGGATAAAGTACATCGTTAAATTTCCTACTCTCTTAGGAAGCTCGGTGAAAACTTTCCATACCGACGGCTCAAATACTGAAAATGATACTAGAACTGGATCGCATCTGGACTGCATAATGGGTGAAAGATGGCGCGGACATAAAATCCGCATTTGCGGTGACAACCAATCTCCTCTAAAGACTTGGAAACCGCTCGCATCTCTTCATAAATTGTCGAAGAATTTGAATTTGAGCCTGAACTTCGTTACAAGGTTGAATAAGCTTAAACTAGTGTGGGTGCCACGACACTTTGGTGCACAAGGCAAGGAACTGGTTGATGAATTGGCAAACTGCGGTTCCCTGGAGCGTCCAATGGATCGGAGCCAATTTTAGGGAATGGTGGGATGTACCAAAGATTTCATTTATAAACCTCATGAGAGCTGTTGGAGTAGTACTGATGCCTGGAAAACAAGCAAGGGTATCCTGAAATGACCTAACAGGGTGGTAGCAGGGAAGTAGAGATATACGGGCCCCTATTAGGACTTATTATGGTACGAAATTATGGTCACTGTGTACATCTTGTTTGGAAGAGAGGGATTTTCTCTGGAACAATTTCTCTGCAGCCGTCTTAGATGGTACATTTTTGGGTTTTGTTTTCACTAGGTCAAATTTATTGGAATTTGTCCGATTATCGTTAGGGACTCAAGACACAGTCTTCTTCCATACTCTACGGGCCTCAAACAATTTTTAGTTTTAGATTTAACTTAATTAAAATTAATTATAGCTCCATGTATGCCACGCCACAAAATTATTTCTTGTGCCATAAAATTAACATAAAATGAATTGCCAGATTCTGCAGCATTGTCAATTATTAATTTTCTTGCACCGTCCCAACTGTGAGGCAGACGATTAGTTCAAGGATCATTTACGTTGATGTTTTTTTTTTTGTGAACTCTTTAAATCTTTCCCATACTGAATACCAAAGTCGCCTTGAATCAATAAAACGCAAAATTTATGGACTTGAGCTGATATTAAAGTACCGAATACCGGCATTAAAGAAGATTATAGATTATTACTTTAGTGCATTTTATTTTTGTTCTTTTAATAATAACTTTTTCGTTTTTTTTTCTCTTATAAAATTGTTACTCAAACAATTTTAAAGAGTTAACGAACTTTTTCGACATTCAATAACCAGTTTTGGTAACAAAAACTGGTAAGAATATCTTTCAGATGCATATGTATTCTTTTATTTATTTTTTCTTGCATTTTTCTCAGTCAGTGGCAATGACACTACAGTAAACGCGAGTGGAGGCACTAACTAAAGCACGAAAGCAATTGACATAAAAAAGGCATAATGAAAGCAAAGAAAAATAGCAACGAACAAAAAAACTGAAATAAAAACATTTTCCAAAATACATTTTAAGAAACATTTTATTCATACATTTAAATCGGTAATACATACAAATAAAAACATGAAAGAAAATTTTAAAATTAAATGTAAATATAAACACTACAAATACAATGCTGTCTATCTTACAATGAGTATAAGTATAGTAAATATAAATTTCTTCGTTTTTTTTTTTACAAACTTTTAAGTTAAAAATAAATGAAATGCTCCAGAGTTTGGTTTATGTATTTTGTAGTTAAATTAAAAAATAAAATTAAAATTCGTTGGCGTTTGTTTCATTATTATTATTTTTTTTTTTTTGTGTAATATGCAATTAAAAATTATTGTTAGCATTGTTTGACTTGTTTGTTTTGTAAATGCTTAGACTACGGCTTGAGCTGAATATATAAGGGAAAGAAAAAAATAAGACTTGCTTTTAATAAAAATCATACAAAAAAACTTACAAGAAAACGACTGAGGCGCGTTAAAAAAAAATAAATTTGTGAAATGAATTATTTTTCGAGTAATTAATTATTTTATATATGAATGTGTAGGAGTAGTTTGATACATACTGATAGTTGATTTTTTTTTTTAACAAATTCGTATCGAAATGAAAATGAGCAACAATACAAAAAAAAGGAAAATATCATTGGCACAAGTTGCAGTCTAATATTAAAATAGGATATTACAAATTTATATTGTATATACATACATATGTATATGCAGTACAATATAAAACCTAATATATGTGTATGAAAATATGTAAATATGTACAACAAAAATTATACAGAACGAAAATGAACAATTTCGGAGTGTTTACACGTGGCCATGAATTGTATGCTATGACTAAATGTAAAATAATAATTTTAGAATATAAAATTAAAGTAGTGTTAGTAAATTGGGGCGATTTTATTTAAATTTTTTTATTAATTAAATGAAATTTCATTGAATTGAGTTTCATAAAATTGTTCAATTTAAAATTAATTTACACACTACAAAAAAAAAAAAAAGAATTTTCGTTAATTTTACAGTACATTAAAAAAGTATGTATACATCGTACTTTTAGTATATATTGCAACTAGGTTAAACAAATACTTTGCCCACTTACAAAATAATAAATTTTGATTAAAAACTACTTTTCGTTTTTGTCAGCAAATTTCGTTGTAATAAATCTCGAATTCGTCGCATGTTGAAACGATATTTTGAAATAAAAGCATTCGTTGTATGCGGTAGTACTACATATGTAAGAGGAAGTGTTTTGGATTAGAATATAAAAGTAGTTAGCAGTGATAAACATTAATTTTTTGAAGACAAATTCTCTATAAAAATTTATTGAAAAACAAATATTTAAAAAAATACTTTTTTTATGAAATATTCAAAAAACTCGGAAAAATTGGTTAACTTTGGAATATAAATATAAAAAATATGTATGCATAAAACTATTCCAAAAAAAAATTTTTGTTTCGAAAAAATATATTTTTGGAAAGTGACTTGGAAAACAAAATATTAAAAAAAACACGAATTAAAAGAAAAAGCTTTTAAAATTTTGAAAATCTCTTTTTAGTTTTTGAAAAAGTAAATTATTTCTGCAAGAAAATGTAAAAAAAATTGATTTTATCCTAAACATATTAGAATAAATTTTGTGGATAAAAATTTTTTGAAAACAAATTTTGCAAAATACAAACATATCGTCGTCACCTTAACTCACAAAGGCCCTAACCAGCAAATTTTGAACTTTACAGGAGAAACAAAAAAGCGTATCAAAAAGAGGTAGAAATTAAAAAAACAAAAATAGCATGTAACTCCGTTGGTTTTGGTACTAAGACCTTAAAATTTTTATTGAAGGTGTGTTTTAACATTTATATATATTAGTAAATGGAATGATTTTCATCTACTTTTTTCTCTGGTTTCATTTATATTTTTTAAGAATTGTCCAAACATTTTCCTAAAGCAAAAATATATTTCTATATAAAAATAAGTATGTAACCACACTTAAAATATGTTTTTGCAAAAAAATAAATTTGCTTGCAAAAGTTTTTGAAACATTTTTGCTAAAATTATAGGGAAAAATAAAAAAAAAAAAACAAATATCTCTTCAATTTATTCAAAAAACTATTCTCCGAAAATTTATTTCATTCATTATCAAATTTTTTTTATTTAATTTATTTTGAAAAAAAAAAATTATGTAGTTTTAGATCGTTTTGTGTACAAAAACAATACTTTTACCGGAGAAGTTTTTTGAAAAAAATTTATCTCCAAAATTATGTACAAAAATATTAGAACAAAATCAAATTTCAATAAATAATCTACTATTTTTTAAAAAATGTTTTCTGAATATTTTTCTTTCAAAAATTTAAATTTATTTAGAAAAAATAGATAAAATAAATAAAATTTATGACCTCTTTCGTGATAACAAGTTTTTTCAAAAATATTTGTTTTTCAATGAAAAAAATTTAACTTTCAGAAATTTTTTCAAAATTAAAAATATATTGCAGCAACAGTATCGATAAATTTTACTATATTTATTTATAAATCGTTAATCGTTTTGGTTGAATTTGTTAATTAACTCAAAAAATAAGAATATAAAAATGATTAGTTGGTCACCTTATAGCTACAACTAACAACAAATACAATCGTATGCAGGTATACAATATTTATGTATGTAATTGTAAGTGAGTGCATTTTCCACTTATACAAAATTGGAACTCATCTAAATAAAAAAAAAAAACACTCAAATATTCTTTCCATTTCGCTTTTATTTTCTACCCTTTTATTCATCTTCATATCTCATCCATCATTCTACCAAACTTAACAACGTGCAATTTTATTTTACGTTCAAAGTGTGTAAAGTGGCTTAGGTATTTTCAACAACTACAAAAAACAACATTTGCTTTAATTCGAAACTCGTTAGCGCAAGCGCCGAGTGAATCTGAAGCCACCACTCAATCAAAACAAAACAATCGCTATTATAGTTATCATGCCAATTATGATCAGGCACATTGTATATAGATCTGTGGGTGTGATAACGCCCAACGAACAAGCCAACAGCACGTGTTCAAGTGTTGTCAAGCTACCCGCTGCCGCCGCCGCCGCCCCCGCAGCCGGACGCAATTCACCGAATACTGAGAGGGCGTGCCGCTGATTTTTCGCCGCCGCAGCGCTGGTTGAAGGCTTCTCATCGTCGAGCGCTTGAGCTTCGCCGTCCACTAAAGTAGAGTTTCTGCGCCGCCAAGGCAGTAGACCAGTCGCCGTGGGTGCGGCCGGTTTGAATCCGTCGCGCGTTTCTTCCGCCTCCGTAGCCTCCTCCCCGTCGGCGGCCACACTCTGCGGCAATTCGCTGAGTGCTGAATTGAGTTGCTCCACCTCGGCAGTGCATTTTGCTATTTGTGTCAAAGCATCGGATGGACAACTGTCACTTTCTTGGCTATCAGTGGGACAGTAGCTAATTTTCACTTCAGAGATATTCAGATTAAGTGGCGGTGTCTCAAAGACTATGCTGCGCTTGCGTGGTGGTAGCGTTTGGTATGCTTTATCTGTGAGGTTGAGCGACGATTCATCACTTCCCGCTACTTGGCTAGCCGTGACGCAACACTCTACCGCATCCTCTTCTTCTACAATGCTTGGCAACTCATCGACTTCTGTTAAATTTCTTTGTAAAAGTTCTGAAAACGCCAGCCGTAAATGATCTAATTCGGTGCTAATGCGCGCTGGAGACTTGTACGCACACTCGATGGGCGCGCGATTTTGGGTTTCACTTGTGGAGCATTCTGCATCGGGCGCAGATGCGCTATTTCTTCTCGAACCACTACTCCTCACCAACTGTGCTAATTCTATTAAGTGTTGCGTGTCATCGACCTCGAGTAGGTCGCTCCTACTAATTTTGCGCTTGATGGGCGTGCTGTTTTGGAACTTTGAATCATCTATAGACTCGGAAAGCTCTTCACCCAAAAAACCTTCTCCTCTATTCTCTAAGCTAATCTCTTCTTGGTCATGAGCTGAAGTGTTCCTGAAGATGGTTTCATAACTTATGTCTTTACTACGTTCATCCAGCTCCTGAGTGTCGCTAGTACTGTGCTTCTTTGTGATCACTTCTAGCCTGCTGCCTACTCGAGTTTCATGCTCTTTTTGAGCTTCGCTTGCACTATGATCACTTGCCTTCACTTCTACTCTCTCATCTTCTTGGTTTTCGCGCTTCAATTCCCGTTCAATTTCCTGCTCAGCCTCTACTCTCTCACACTCCCCATTACCCAAACCATTTTCGTTCTTTTCCCCTCCCAAACTATCGCGTAATTCCTCTTCGCTTGGCGGTGGTGGAAATTCGGTAACTTCTACGCCAGCTTCACCAACACTTCTAGCGTCTTCAACTTCCTTCGAAACCCCGCCCACTATGGATACCTCACTCACGAAATTCTTTCTAACCTCAAAACGACTATTACACACGCTCTCGAGCTGTAAGCATGCATTATTTGTCTGTGCGCATAACGGAAAGTCTGCTAAACTGACATTACCCGAGTCGGGATTGGATGAAGTTTCCTCTTCGCCGGAGCTCAACGAATCGCATTGTGTAACCACGCCCATTCTGGCTGCTTCTGCCGTTACCTTATCAACTACAATACTTATTTTACTAGCATAGATCTTATTAAAATTGGGTGAAAGTTTTAATGAGTCACACTCCATTGGCGCGCTCTCAACTTGTGGGGGGGACTCCGGTATGGATGCTAGCTTACAACTACTTGAACTTAACATAGTGGGTGAACTCTTAGTGTCGGAGTGTGTGGGTTTGGTAGAGGAGTTTTTGGTTGCTATGGTACTAGTACTAATGGGATTCTTTTTGGTAGTGGTTCCTGTTACATTTTCAACATCAACAACGCTAACACGATCATTTACATTATCAACAACAACAATGACATTCAAATGCTCTGGTTTATTAGTAGTGCTTGGCTTCGCGCATGCGTATGCCTTGGCAACAGTCAGTTCAACAGCAACAGCATTGGGATTAGTGTGTAGCTGGGTAGCTTTTGCAGCGGTAGTAGTAGTAGTAGTAGCGGTATCGAGCATGGATGCATGGAGAGCGGATGCATGATTAGATGATGTCAATGGCACTTGTACAGACACAGGCGCTGGCGGCGCATGAACTGATTTAGTAGTAGTGAGATCATCATCTTTACCTGAAACATTTGTGGTAGACGGTTGTGCCGACTGCTGCTGTTGTTGTTCGCGCGCTCGCGAACGCCTCGACGACGATTGTTCACCAATGCCGAAAATCATTGCCAACTCCTCGGAAGAGTTGTACTGTGAAGGGGAGGAGAGCGAACGTGTACGTGCGCGCTCTTGTGAATGACGCGCAGCCGCATCAGTGGCTGTGGTAGCGGCGATGGCGCGTGCGCTGACTGGCGTCAAATTTAGCGCTGGCGGTGGTGGCGATGGCGAGTAGCTGAATGTGCTATTCGTTGTGGCGCTTATGTTCGGTGTGGCGCTTGTGGTCGATGGAACATCGTAAGATGTGGTGCTGAAGGTTTTTATTGGATCGGTGCTGGGTGCATGATATTCACTACTTGGTGACTTAATATAATCGCTGGAGGAGTAGGGATTGAAGGAGGTAATGCTCGAAGATTGTCGTCGACTGGCGGAGGGACTCGATGATTTGGCCAGGCAATCGCTGGATGAGGAAAACGAGGAGGCTGTTGTGCTGGCACCGGTTTTGACGGCACCGGCGCCGACGCCAACGACGCCAGCATTGTTGCTGCTGCTGCAGCTGCTTGTGGTTATGCTGGGCGCAGTCGTGTGATCATCGCCACTGCTGTGCGCTGTCGCGCCGCCTTGGCGTGCAGTGCCCAGCGTACGCTCCGCGATGATAATAGGTGGCGCTGACACTTTGGACACGGTTGTCGCTCCTTGGCGCATTTTGGCCTCGCACTCCAGCATGATCTGATCGATTTCCTCAATGTTCTGCGCTGTCGTTGCTTGACGTGCGCGCGCTGCATCTGCTTCTTCTGCAACGGTAGAAACAAGATTATCAACTTTTGCCGCTGGCTCCGAGTGTATATGTTCGGCGTTACAGGTGGCAACAGCTGCGGCTGCTGATGATGCTTGTACGCTGCTGGCTGCACTCTGCTGCAGCTCCTGATTCAGATTGTCATAGTCGGGGTTGTCATCGCCGCTGGCCAGCTCGCTCAATTGACGCATGCAACGCTTAGCGATTGCCTCTATCTGCTTCGACTGTATGGGATCCAGCTTCTTGATAAGGTTTGGCATGACCAGAGACTCATCTGGTTGTTTGGCTTGTGTTATGTTCTTCACTTGCACCGCCTCCTGTACAACTACTGGCGGCTCGGTGGTCACAATGTCCTTCAATATCTTCTCGCATACCGCATTGGCCGCCTCCGACACTTGATCGATGGCCTCAATGAGTTTTCCTTCTTTGTGCAACTTGCGTGGCTTCGCCAGCGCTTGACTGCTGTTCGCATCGGGCAAGGTGTCTAGTAGCATTTTACCGCAGCGCTTTGCCGCCTCCGACACCGCTTCAATTTCCTGCAAATCTTTCTCCAGCTTCTCCTCCTCAGTGTTGACTTTAGGCGGACGCGCTGCAGTTATGAGCGCTTCCTTGCGCAACTCTTGCAGCTCCTTCGTCAGCTTGACGGACTTCTCTTGCGCGTCCATTGCAATCTTATTCAGCGCGTCCTCCATTTGCGCATTCGCCGCCGTGGGCTCAGGCGTGAGACTCTTGCGCGGCAGCGGCACAGGCGGTTTGTGTACTTCCTCTTTGTGCGCCACGCTGCTGCTGGGCAGCTTTTCGGGCAGCGCACAAATGGCGCCACCCTGACTGGGATGACGGAAAGGTATCGAGAGTTTCTTTGGCGCAGCCAGCTGCTGCTGATCTTGCTCCTTGAGGTTGCGCAATAGCGCCAGTGTAGCTGGAACATCTGCGGTCGTCTCGCCATCGTCCTTACGCAAATCCGACATGCTGCCGGCGCGATCTAAGTTGCGCGTCAGTTCCAGATATGAGTGCAGGTCACCACCGGATGGCTTGGCAGCGTCGCGGTGTATCAGATTGTAAATGTTTGCGGATTGTGTGCGCGTCGCGCGATTCTTCTTCTGAAACGAGCTGTACGGATACAAGAATTTGTCCTTGGGGCCAGGCGGGTCCTTGCGCAAAGCGCGCACGGCCAAATCATCTTTGATAATGTCGGGCGTATTCACCACCACCGGTTGGGTCGGCTCCACTATGGACGTAGCATGCAGATAGTCGTTTTGCGGCGCTGCAACAACCGGGCCAATAGGTATGCCGAAGGGCGGCTGCTTCTCCACGGTTTTGTGCTGCAAATTCGCCAGCTGCATGTTACGATAGGCAACATCGTCGCGTATGGGATCGGGCTCGCCTGCAGGCGAATCTTCATCATCGTATTCGTCGGCGTGCGCCAAAGCGTACTTCTCAAACTCACTGGGCGTTGGTATGCGTTCCTTCTTCTCTGGCTCCTCGGTGAGCCCCAGTGACTTGTAGATGGCCTCCAGCTCGTTGATAGCCTCCTCAAGATTGGCGGGCTTCTTGCGCGGAAAATATATGGGCACCTCGGCTGCGCTGCTGGGCGGTATGGATAGCTTGCGCTGCGGTGGCGTGGGAGGCGTGAAAATGGGTTTGTGGTGCTGTTCGCGCTTCTCGGCCACGTACTCGTCATACTTGTTCGGCGTGTTCGGTATCTCGCCCGAACGTCGCTGGTAGTGGTTCGGCATGGAGCTGCTCTTGCTGTAGTCCTTGCTGCGTATCTCTACGTAATTCGAACTCGAATTGTCCGGCTTCGATTTTATGCGCAAACTGCCGCACACAATGTTATCCACCTCATCAACGCCGGGTTGTGGTGACGACTGCGGCTTCTTGTGTGGCTTTTGCACCTCCGAGTAAACAGGTATAGGGTAAGCGCGTAACTCGCCGACACGCGAGCTAGAAACCGAACGCGGCTTGGCGTTGCTCTCCGGCGCGAATGTGCGCTGCACGTCTCGACCGCGATGCTGCGGCCAGCATCCAAGCGTTTCCAAAAGTCGTTTGCGTGCTGTTGAGACGAAGGTGAAGGTAGTCCGCTCTTTGTCGTGCGCAATATACTCGCAGCCGCCATCGCATCTTTGCTTGTCGCATCCGCGTGCGGCTCCAGCATGTGTATGGGCTTGCGCGAGCGCGGTGTCGCATCGGCAACGTAGTGATGTTCCAAACCGTTCGGCAGCGACTTCTTCGAGGGATGCGCATCACGTTCAGCGCGCGTAATGAAGCGCCGGTGGTGTGGCGTATTACTGGGCGCAAATGCTTGTTGCGGCGTGCCGGCCTGCATGTGCTGCGCTGCGCGCCACAGCTGGCGGCGTATTCAGCGAATGCACCGACTGGTAATGAGGACCCGCAGGTCCCGACCAAATCTTATCATCTGATACACAACGCCCACTCAGACGGTGCGTAGCAGTGGGCAGCGCCGGTAGCCCGCTCTGATCGAAGGCGTACGAAATGGGGCGCAAATCACCAGCGCTGCCATTCTGCAACTGTCCGCTGACATTTACGCGCGCAGTGGATCACGTGGTGGCGGCGGTGGTGGCAACGGTTTTGTCTGCAGCCACCATTGATATTCTGTAAATGTATGTGACTAGTCATAGCTGATGCTGCGCTTGCTATCATTAACGCTATTCTGCAAATTCTTTGGCTGCAGTTGCTGCTGTAGTTGACCCCACTGCACATAGGGCGCGACATGTTGCAGGCTACTTGTATTTCTTAAGCGCGGCTGGGCAGCAGCGCTAGATGGCGTCGCTTGCGCTGATGGATTGTAAATAGAGAGCGGCACTGGTTGCGTCTTCCAGCGTTGTGTTGGCTGTGGCGCATACATGACTGGCACCTGGCCGCTGCTCGGCTCGCCATCACGCGACAGTCGTTTATAGTAGCGCTCATTGCGCGCGGCGCGACTACGCCTGCTCTGCGCATTATTGGCGGCACCCATTCCACCACTATGAATGCTCTCATCACTAGCGATATTTGAAAAAGTTGAGGAGTTCAACGAAATCAACTCTTCCTCGCTGGATGAATGCGCGCCAAGCGCTTTTCGTGTGGCAAACGTTGCGCGGAACGTGTTTTTTAGCGCGGCACGCGCAGCGCGTCGATCCAACGAGTTTGAGGATCGCATATAGCTGCAATGCTGGATGCGCGCCGGCATGCGGGAGGTACTGTTGTTGTTGTTGCTGATTCTGATAGTAAGCCTCCGTGGGTGAAATGGTCTCCACGGGTAAAAAGAATTCATGATCCACATGCTGTGGTTGCGGTGGATGTGGTGGTGCTATTAGAGCGCCTGTCTGCGGATTGATGACGATGTGATCGAAAGCTGGCGCCATTCAACTTGCTGCTACGACTAACTTTACTCAGATTTATTACTCGATTTTGTATTTCAAATTGGCACTACTGCCGCAGCCGCCGCCACCGCTGCTGGTGGTGGCATGGCGTGCATTTCTTTGGGTGGGTACAAAGCCAGCTTTGCGATCCTCTTCAGACGATGAATCCGAGGCAATATCTTTCTTCCGGCGAAAGAGGCGCCCAAAGGACCACTTCTTATTCGAAGCGCTGCTGGCTGACGTATGATTCGTGGACGCTTGTGAGGCGCTTAGGGAATTGTCTTTTCGGCTGTTGGCGTGTGACGACGTTGCGTTGTGAGCTATTTGTGAGCGCTCCATGTCGACGGCGTCAACGTTTGAGTCGTCTGGCTCATCGGTGGAGTTGTCAAGTTCTTTGGGTAACGGCAGCTGAGGTCGCCAAGATGTCTGGACAGTCTGTGGAAAGAGAGAGAGGGGAAAAGGTGAGATGAGTTTAAAGATTTTATGAAAAACAAAAATTAAGCGAAGACGAATTTTTATGCTGGCAACTTCATGAATCGCTCAAGCTCTTTAAAGCTCAAAATTTTTACAAATAACACAAAAAAAATATTACAGTAAATATTACATAAATATTTTCCATCGCTACAGATATAACAAAGAGCTTCTATTGTGTTGAACTCGTGGTTTGTCGAGTTATTTATTATTTGCACTTTGATTAGTGTGCAAATATTGGCTGCCTGCAAATATCAGAGCCAAAGCAGAGTCACTAACAAAGCGTTAACTAATAAGCACAATATAACTGTCTAAATAAATAGACCGCTATTAATAATAATCTTCTACATACACACACACACACACCTTAAAATACAAATGCATACACAACCGAACATGCAGATACGTAAAGAATGAAAGTTTAATCAACTTGACGCAGTCGATCAACAACTTTGATAAGACTAGCCTCCGTCTAGATAGCACATACTTATGACTAGGTTGAGTGTTCGTATTCTTGGCACCATCCAAGAAAACACTGTTCAGCGAAAGATAAAAGAAAATGTGAAGAAAGAATAGAGCAAATATTATAAAAACTTTTTAAAACAAAAAACACAATAAAAACCCCTCTCCCCATATAAAGCACAGCATCTGTTCTTACTAGTTCAATCTGCTCGGTGTAAAGCAGCGAAAAGCGTTTGAGCTATTCATATGAAATTGTTCAAGAAATTATAAAAGTCATTTAGCGATTGCTGTTTACATCTTTTTTTTCTTCTTGGTACAAGGGAAATATTGTTTTGTCGATCTCTGACAAATGCAATTAGCAGCAAATGACTGTATTTGAAGTGAAGCAGAAATTCTTGGCAAATAGGAAATGAAATATTGAAGTGTTCATGTATGACATGCCCACAAGTACAAATTTGTGTTTGGCAGTCGAATAATTATAAATAAATAAATAAATATAAAATGAAATATCAATAAAAAAATAAATAAAAATAAAAAAACGATTAAAAAAAGTATTAAAAAGCAATAGATAAAATGAAAAAATAAAAAAATTATACATATGCATATAGAAAACTTATAAGAAATTACACAAAATAATAAACTTTATGAAAACGAAGAATAAAAAATTATAAAAGATTAATGTATAAAAAAGTATAAAAATCAAATTAGAACATGAAAGAGTAAAAAAATTTAAAAAAAGAATTTAAAAAAATATTTTAAAAAAAATTGTTAAAACGAAAAAATTCAATAAAAAAAATAAAAATTAACCAAAAATTTTAAAAGCAAATAAAAAAATAAACTATTTTAAAAGCAAATAAAAAACAGAGACAGTAACGGCTAAAATTTGATTTCCATTTTTCCGGTCAAATTAAACCGTTGTCTTATGATTTTAAATTTTCTCGACTAAAAATAATTTTTATTTTCTTTATTAAAAAAATTAAAAAATTAAAAATAGATACATATGCATATAGAAAAATTATAAAAAATTACAAAATATAAAAAACTTTATGAAAAGGAAGAATAAACAATTAAAAAAGATTGTAATATAAAAAAGTATAAAAATCAATTTAGAACATGAAAAAGTATAAAAAAAATTAAATAATTAAAAAAAAAAATACTAAAAAATGTTAAAACGAAAAATTTTTTTTAAAGAAATAAACCAAAAATTAAAATATTTTAAAAACAAACAAAACGTAACGTAAAGACCGTTACGGTTATGATCTTTATAACAAAAATCATACGCTGACCGTTAAAATTTGATTTCTATTTTTCCGGTAAAATTTAACCGTTGTTTTGATTTTGAATTTTCTCGATTATGAATAATTTTTGTTTTCTTGATTAAAAATAAGCGTTTTTTATTTTTATTTTGACGATCGTGTTATAGCCCCTATTTTCAGACTTAATTTTTGCAGATCATAAAAACTTTAAAACGATCATAAAAACCCAGTC